TTTCTTCAAGGAAGCATCTGTGCTGTGCTATGATACATTGTCATCTTACTGCTTAACAAATAGGTTTGTAAGGAATTAGAACCAGGTGTGTTAACAGTACCTTTGTATAACAAGTTGTAAAATTAAAGATGAGGAGTGTGCACAAATGATCAGTTCAGTGTTTTTTAAATTGGTCAATACTATATCTAATGCTGTAGTTTGTATGTTTCTACTTTCATTGCACAGAATAAATTAAAATGAAACAAAAAAAAGAAATAGAAGACAAATACTTGAATACTTTACAAAAGATAACACCAAAAATTCCATTCCTTTGTCTAAAACACACTTTCCACACAGACATTTCTGAAATCAGAATGCATCTCATGTTGGACAAAACACACAACCAGGATCTTCTTTTTCTTTAAAGTGCTGTGATTAATGAAATAGAATATTTTATTACTAATAGCATCTTAGAATCGGGGACTTGAGGTATTTATTAAAGGGAAGAAAATTAGACCTTAATCATTTGTGTTGCCTGACAAAATTTTTCAGAATTCTTTTTAATACAGACCGATTAAAGTCAGTTGGAGGAGCAATTAAACACAGCACACAACTGAAAGTCAAACAAGTAGCCTCTGAGCCTAATTAAATAAAAACCTAACTTTTGGAGGTCAAACGCATGGTACTGTTTCCCAACACACTCTGTATAAGCAACATTACAGTCCACTTCCAAAAGGCAAATCATAAAACTCTAGCCTATTACTAACTGAAGGTGTCTGAGGGACTACCCTGAATGATTAACCACAAATAATTTCAAGTTAGAAAGTTCACCTTTATACCCAAGCATGGCTAAGGAGCACTTCGTGTATGCTCCTAATCTCATCCTAGACCTAGATTTCATTCTAGATGCTAATCTAGATTTTCAACTCATCTGTATAATAAAATGAGCTGTGTGATACTGGCATATTTAACTGAGAGAATTTAACATTTCAGGTGGAAATGTTTTCTAAGACATTTGCCTCATTCAAATTACCAGAGCTTTTTAAAAGCACTGTTGGCCACAACCTATTTTGGAAAACAACTTAAAGACAAAACAACTTAAAGAACTGGAGTATCTACATAGTGATGAGGTTTTTTCCTCTCAGCACTTCTAGTTAAGGCAGAGAGCAGGAAAGGACACTCTAAAGAACCAGTACTACCCTGGAGGACTATTCTTACCTGAGAACTGCTAAGGTTGTACAGTATTTAGCATAAAATTCTTGCACATATTCTGAGGCCCATAGCTCTCCAGGGAAAAGGGTTCACCATTAGGCAGTGTGGTCAATTTCTTGTGCTGGCTGCTGAGCCCTAAACAAAAGAACCAGGTACTACAAAGCAGTGTTTTTCCAGTACATCAGTTTGTGCAAGCAAACTCGAGACAAAATATGCATTCAAACTTGCACTGAGATTCTGATTCAAGTGCCACTCAACAGGGAGTGTGAATCACTGGTGAAAGGTAGTACTTGCATGAATTATACACTGGGTATTTCTTAGCCATTCAAATCCACTGTCTGACTTCCAAATATTGTGCACAGTTAAAAAACAAGAACACCTTTCTGTGAATTAAAGGAACTTATAGCTAAAAAATGCACCTTTGTTTTAAAATCTTATATCATGTAAACAAAATATTATGCAATAAAATGGATGTAATTTTTTAAGTTTTGTATACAAACTATTTCAACTTACACATGCATTAAAGATGTTAAAAATAAACCTGATAATATTGATCGATTTTTCTTTTTTCATAGTTAATCACTTCTATTTTGAACCAACTAAGGGTAAGTCTATTTATTTTTATGCTATTATAAATTACAAATTTACTAAATGGAGTAAATATCTTTATTTTTCATTTTTAGGGCTTCATTGGGGTAAGATTTTATTTTTATGATTTCATTAATAAAAGTGACACTCACTGTCAGGAAAGGTAAGAATAATTCCCTTGAACTATAAAAGGTTACGGTAGATCAACACAATTGATCTACCCAATTAATTTATATTTACAGAAATATATTCAATATTAGTTTAAGGAATTTCAAACAGTAAAGTCTATACCAGGCTTACTTCCATTTGATGGACAATTCATAGTAAACAATGAGAAAAGTGTACTGAAAAATTACCAAGTCTAGCCATGTCCTGACCTCAAGGCAAGGCAATACATCTCCTAACACAGAGCATCAGCTTGCTTGGTGGAAAGGCTGCAAACTTGGACACTTGTGCTTTGATTCTCACTCAAGTTTGTTTTCATTTAAAACACACTATAGCAAAAATATAGAGACTAAAAATGTATATTCCTTTTTTTAAATAAATCAACAACTGAAATTACATATAGTATGTGTTTAATCTATCATGACAGAAGTTGATGAATCAAGGTATTTTCACCCACCAGTTTCCCTTCCAATAAGTCTCTCTGCCCTAAAGTGCTTACTTAGTACTTTCTACCACTTTAGACACTTGCATCTGGCCATCAGAGACCACAGTGAGAAAAATGTTTCAGAAAAAACTGAGGGTATAATTTATCAGCATTTAAATATAACAGAACTACATTATTTTCTACCCCTAACCTACATAATCATATCCATATTAACACATCAGCAATAAAATAACCATAAAATGGGATAGATGGGTAGCAGTGAAGAAGGAATTACTGTGAAAATATCTTTGTATAATAGCTATAATCTGTATTGTCTATTTCAACAGAAATAATCCCATCACTATGATTCCAGAAGCTATACGCGGTTAGTAAAATGTCCAAATATCTCGCAAACACTACTGCTTTTTTGGTACTGTAGATTGAACTCAGGACCTTGCGCTTGTGAGGCAGGCAGCAGAACCACTGGGCTAAATCCCCAGCCCAACTGCATTATTACTTTTAAGACAATTATGCTTTTACATGCATTCAGCATATTTGTGTTTGAAATGCTTTAGAAGGCTCAAGAACACCTGCTAGTAAGACAAATACTGACTGTGACCATTTACTCTAAGATTAAGATAAGATCAAATGAACTATCTCTGTGACAAAATCATGTAAGCAGTTTCAACAATGCCATCAAATCAGGCTTGGCCCTTACATCTCAAGTCACACTACTTTGGCTGACATGAGTACTATTCATGTAACTTAAGCTTCCCAACTGCACCCTGAAAGTAACAAATCACAAAAGATTCATAACCTCATGGAGGAATAGACACAAAACAGATTACAGACCGAGGACGTCAGAGATTCAAATACAAGCTGGGTTCCTTACTGAATAAAATCCTAGACAGCATTTCAAAATATCTATTTCTTCATCTGTCAGTGGGAGTAATACCTCAACTTGTAAGAGTTTTGTGAAAATTATGATATAATTTAGATATCATTAAATGTTATCTATTATTACTACTTATTTTACTACATGTCTCTAAAGAAAAAGCAGAATATTCTTACTACAACATAAGAAAAGCAAACATGATGGCAATATTACCTGGTGATATAGAAGCAGGAAGATCTTAAACTAATGTTTTCATTTTCATTCATTTCCATTCATTTCAGATGGTGCTGAATATTTAGATATCAGAAGATTGTATGATTCTAGCTTATCTACAAATGAGTTTCATCATTTTGCACATTCTATAAAAGTTCCAGCGAAACTCCAAAAGCCACAAAGAGTTTATGATCTACATACCAGTCATTTGCTTTAGTTTTACTTGAAATAAAATTTTAATATAATCCAGTATCTTTATTTCTGTTTAAATGTATCAAAACTATTAAACATAAATAAATGCCATTTTTCATAAAATTACTCACATTTTCCTGAGAGCTTCTATAAGTAGTGTCAAGTTCAAAGAGTTCTATTTCATTCCAGGAAGAGAAACTTCTTGCCAAACAGGAAAAGTCAAAGCCCTTTCCTGCTGAGGCAAGTTCTCCAGCCTCCCACCCACGGGGAGGTCATCCTTATCAAGTGTTAAGTCCCTTATGACATGGCCTAGAGACCAGGGTTTACGGATTTTAAACAATTAATCATTACATCTCTTCCAACAGGTTCAAGGTATCCTGAAATCACGTGTAAATGTCTCTCATCAAAATTTAAAGGTAGACTGAGGGGGAAAGGCCTCCTGTCAGTTCCATTCAGGCTGAACAATAAGAAAGCTCTGATAACAAATCAATAAAAACCAAAACAAAACATAAAACCTTGATCTGCCTTAATCCTAGCTCTGTTCTTGAGCTACAGAGTAAATCTAACAGTTTTCTCACATCTGAAGAAAACTATCGTGTCTCTTTTTCCCTCGGCCTCCTCGCCCTCAGATGCTCCATCTCTGTTCCTCCTGGAGTGAAGAAAGGTGACAGGTCCTACCTAGGGTGACCGGAGGTGGTATCGTGGAACTTCCAATAGCTCTCTCTGGCCAGAATGCGGCACACAGATCCTCTGGGACAATGTAGTTTTATTTTTCTTTCCTCTTCCTTGCTTCCAAGAGACAGACTCTAGTACACCAACCTTCTGCTTTCCCAATGCAAAAACTAACTTCAATCTTAAAACTCCCTAACAAAAACACTGTCGGTCACAAAGACCACCCTCAGACCCTGCCTGACTTCAATTCCTTTCTACATCCATTTTTAATCAATTTGTGACACGCAGTAGTTAGAACAAAATTTCCACAAATTACTAATTCCTTGGACAGATTATTTTCAGTTTAGGACTTCTGAAAATGAGAATATGAATGAGTATTCATTGATCTTGACCTTACTGACTAAAATGATACCTGTAATTTTATAAAACTGATGACTCAAAGTCAAGAATACATGAGGTTTTCACTTTTTTCAGATTAGTAGCATGAAAAGAACAAGAACTAGATAGAAAGCGAAAGTTAAAGCCAATTAAGAATTTATTTTTATTCTAGTTACAATTCTTCAAAGAGCATCAATTACTTAAATTTGGCTAACAGCATGCTTAAATAGGACATATACAAAATATTACTATATCAAATCCTTTTGACCAGAAAGATGGAAATTTTATCATATTTACTCATTTTATTCGGATGCCAAACCTTCTAAATATAAACATTCTGAACATGAATAAAATGATTTCTGGGTAACCTGGCCTGTCCCAGCATGAGCTCTGTGACTCTCCTCCTCCTCAGGACACGCTCCTGGCTGGCCTCTGAGGACCTGGAGACGCAGGCTAGGAGCCACGGCAGTCGGCTTCCGAGTCCTCGCTCCAGTGTGCGTCTCGCTTCTCTGCCACAAGGCGGATGAACTGAGAATGGCTGGCATAGAGCTTCAGCTTGTCGCTGATGTCCACCCATTTCACTTTCCCAGCATCGTCCCCAGCTTCCAGGGCCAGATTGTCCATGATCTCACCTGGTCACCAGGAAACCACCATCAAAAAAGGACATTTTCTTTCTCAACAAAACTCTATATATTCAAGCAACACCAAACCAGAAACCAAAGAGAAAGTATTTGATTGCATACATACATATACATACATATGTATACATACATATACATATATTTGTTAAAATATTTCTAGTTATAATTATTAAAAAGTAAAATACGTACTCTCACAGGAATGCAAGTGGTATAATTCTACAGAACAATTTGGCAATGTTTATCAGTTGTTTTTAGAAAGAAAATGCATACCCCTGGATAATGAAATAATTTTTAAAATACATTATCTGTTTTCTAAATAACTTTCAGTTACTTTTACCTGTATAATAACAATCTTTATAAAAAGAATTAATTTATATTTTAGCACACAGGTTTCCAGATCTCAATGCCTATGTGATAGTTCAATGACTACCCCCACTGCACTTACCTCTAACAATCAGTGAAGAAACTGAATTACAAAGCAAGCCTGAAAGACTTGGGTGCAGCTAAGTGATAGGGCACCTGCCTAGCATGCACAAAGCCCTGCGTTCCATCCCCAGCATTGCAAAAACAAAGTAAACCTGAATCCAAAAGTTAAAAGGCAGTAACAACTTCCTCTAACATCACTTTTTGAGCTATTTTGTTGTTTTGGGTTTTTTTATCAGAATGAATGTCTAAAATGTTCTTTTACTTGTGCCTCAGGTCACTTAGTAAACTATACAAAATGAAAGAAACAGTCTGATATGTAAAGTTCAGGAATCCCACTCCCATCTATACAACAAGAAGAGTTAAACTGAAAATAAATAATTGTACTTAGCTCCATCAGAGAACTGAGGGCACAGGCATTCTCTCACTTCTAGCAGGGAGACAGGAAAAGCAACCATTCTAAAATATGCGCACACAGTACTCCCTTCATGGAAAACTAGTTTACCAAAGCCTAACCAACTTAGGGGAGAGCAAATACCCAGGTGTAGCCCCACTAACCTTCCTATCTGCCCTAACGATGGGAAGAGGAGGAAGAGGAGCTGAAAAGCAGGTGTGAGGGTCACAGCCAACATACAAACTCACTGAAAGACTAAGGCCAAGTCACAGAATTCTCTTGTGATTCCCCTACCTCCTAACTTACTACCATAGCAAGGGGGATACAACTGAAAGAAGGCATAGCTCAGACCCTATGAGCCTTACTAAGTAACCTCTGCTGGAGCCATCTGTGGTGGTACATGCTTAAAATCCCAGCTGTCTGGGAGGCTGAGGCAGGATGATCCCAAGTTCAAGCCCAGACTGCTCAATTTAGTGAGCCTGTTTCAAAATTTAAAAATTTTTAAAAAGCTTAGGGATGTAGCTCAAATGTGAAAGACCTGGGTTCAATCTCCAGTACTACTAAAAAAAAAAAGTCTCTAGAGAAACCCAAATATAACAGGGAGATAAAAACAAGGATACTAGAAGTTATTTAACTTCTCACACAGCTATAGCAAACAATAAACATCTCTTAGCCAAATAAGTATGGAACCTCATACCAAAGCCCCCCACCCTTTGCCTTAATTCCTGTTACCAGATAAGCCATGTTCAGCTTTCAAAATAAACTAGCAGGCATGCTAAAAGGCCAGTAGTCTCAAGAGATCAACCAAGCTTAATAGCCAAATTTAGATAACCCAAAGGCTTTGAAGCTATCTGCCCATAAACTATACAATCAACATCTAGAGAAGTCATTGTTTTTAACCACCACAATAAAAAAAACTGTCAGTTTTAAGTTGTATAAACATGACTCTAAGTTACATCTGTTACTTCTCCTACTTCTCGATACCAGAATAAGCTTTTAGCAGAATGGAAATGGTGCTAGGAGTTTCCCCTAAGACCAACAAGCAAAAGCTCAAGTGTAAAAGTGATAGCTCTTCTAGTTCTAGACCTGAGTCCAGAAGGGCAAGTGATCTACACAAAGTTAACGCTACTCCCAAAGAAGCCAGGTGAAGAATATTCAGTTCTCTGGTTAGGCCCCACTTCATTACGCTACAGATGAATACCAAATAAAGTATCTTCCCACTTAGCAATACAATATTGCTAAGAGAACCACTTCAAGAGAACCACTCAATGTGTAAAAGCCATAATTAATTTTTATGATAGCAGATTTCCTCCTCATAGTAAGATTTGACTTCCCACAATAAATTTTAAAATCCATGGAACAGAAAAAGTACTCATTTTAAATTTTTTACAACTTCAATCTTTGTGGTACTGTTCTGCACTTTAGACATTGCACTTTTTTTTGTTGTTGTTGTTACTGGGGATCGAACTCGGGTCCTTGTGTTTGCAAGGCAAGCGGTGGAACCACTGAGCTAAATCCCCGGCTTTGTTCTGCACTTTAATAAAGCATGCTTATCACAAAAATATTGCAGAGTGCTGGGTGTGGTGGCGCACACCTGTTACCCCACCACTCAGGAGGCTGAGGCAAGAGGATCATTTCGAGTTCGAGACCAGCCTGGGCTACACAGTGAGTTCCAGAGCAGTCTCAACTACATAGTGAGACCCTGTCTCAAAATTTAAAAAAAAAAAAAAAAATTCAGAGTATAGCAATTATAAATCCCCTTTCTTTTCTCACTGCCATCCTTTCTTACACAAATGCCCAGTTGCTTGTTTTATATAAATGGAATCATGCTACACAAACAGTATGAGAACTTTAAAGTACATCATTTAAGTCCATAAATTCAAACTTAATTTCATATGGTAATAATCAGGTTAAAGAAATTTTAGTCATTGGTGGTAACACTTTCGATGCTTTATTTCATGAATCCCTTTAGTACCAATAACTTTGCTTTCATATAAATACTGTACAATCCTAAAGTCAATAGTTATTCGGTTTGAAATGCTAACACAGTGTGGATGTGATCATGTCCTAGTGGGCTGCTAGGCTTAAACTGATCCTCCAGTTCTCATCAGTGAAATATATAGAAATTACCTGTCTCATCATGGTAATTCACAGCTTCTGTCTCCATCCATGCATTGTCAGTGTTTCGAGGATCATCAACATATCCCTTATATATCTATTTTTAAAAGGAGGCAGAAGGTTAGCCAGATGTGGTAGTGCACATCTGTAATCCAAGCATTCTGTGTAGCTGAGGCAGGAGGATCACAAGTTTGAGCCCAGCCTGAGCAATTTAGTGACTCAGAAAGACCCTATCTTAAAATCAAAAGGTGCTGGAGATATAGCTCACTGCAAAAGCCCTAGATCCAATCCCCAGAACCAGAAGGGGGAAAAAAAGGCTTGTCTGAAACACAAGTGGGGAGAACAGAAGCATGTTACCTTCACTAAATTCAGAAATCCTGCTGCAAAGTACTTAACAGAACTATATGCATAAACATGGATACAATGGTAAATTTTATTGTTTTTTAACTAACAATTTTATTTTATTTTATTTTATTTTATTTTAGAGACAGAGTCTCACAAGATAGTCCAGGCTGGCCTTGAATTTATGGTAGTCCTCCTGCCTCATCCTCCTAAGTGCTAGGATTACAGGCACGTGCCATGCCCAGCTAAATTTTAAAAAAGAAATGTAAATACAAAATTGTTAATGTACCTTTGATATTCACTTGATTTAAACTTCTCAGGGAATAATATCCTTTTTTGAGACATTTTAAAATACATAAAACCCTCAACAACTCAGAATCTAATTTTAAAATGTGACAGGGGCTGGAGGTGTAGCTCAGGGGTGGAGCGCTTAGTATGGGGGGCAGGGGAACCCTGCACTCATCCCCAGGACTGCAAGAGAAAGAATAACAGTCAGATTTGGGCCATAGCATTTTTCAAAAGGTTCCATAATTTAAGCCCATCTGCTTATAGTAATTCCTATGATTATAATTTCATAAATAGAAAGGCAGAACCTTTTAGTTAAACATATGAGATCTATAATTAAAACTAATGATTAATATTTAAGCCAAAATTCATGAAAAGATTTGGGTCCTATAATCCTAGTTACTTGGGAGGCTGAGGCAGGAGGATTACAAATTCAAGCCCAGCTTGAATAACTCAACTTTGCAAGACTCTGTCTCGAGATTAAAAATAAATAAATTAATTAAAGGCCTGGGGCTACAACTCAGTGCAAAGGTTCTGGGTTCAATCCACAGTGCCATAGTGTTGAAAAAAAAAAAAAAAGACCTGGATCTAGTCACCTGACACAAATATAATTCAAATTTTGTGGATAACAGCAATAAAATATTAAGAAGTCCCAATGCTGCAAAGAAAATAAAGCATTGTAATGAGTCAACAAAAAGAAAAATCTAACTCTTCCCCTTATTTGTACACATATACTTTCTAAGGCACTTTTTTAATTACAGAAAATAGACAAACCAGACACGATATTTAAATGGTTATCAACCAGGAAAACTATATATCATATAATCTAAAATGTAAATGTTCTTTCAGAGACAGCTAGATTATAAATTTCTTTTAGAAAAGGTTTTCTGATGGATGGACACACAACATATAAGAAAATGGCCTATTATATTAGCCTAAAGAATAACTAAGAGGAAAAAAGAATAAATAATAAAATTAACCTAAAGTTATTTTATGAATCTGTATTTCACATATCCAGGTAGTCTTCTTTATTCAGAGAAGGCTCTATCAGATTCCAAGTGAACTCTTTTTTGTTAATTTTTAGGACCAAGTCTCTCCCAAGAAGCCCCAGTCTTACCACTAGGTGCTCTTGGCTGAAGAGTTTGTGTAACTGCTCCTCCAATTCTCTCTTTTCAGCACTGGACTTCTGTAAGGAGTTCAGAGCTTCCTCACCAAATTCTCTTTTCAGTGTGGCACTAATCTTCTCTCCTGGATCCACCATCCCCTAAGAATCACATTTAAAAGAAGAGCAATGAGTCTTCATTCATTCAACATATTCACCTTCTAGGGTTCCCATCCAGACATCCCCCACAGCCCGATACACTCACAGGTGGGGCTATTCAGGGTGGCTGGATCATGGCTTTGTGATACTGGGATTAAGGGCGTGTAGCACTGGATTAAGCCACTGACTGGTTTATGATTGGTTTAGCCCAATTCTGGGTGCACCCCATGTGGTAGCCTGGATGGTATAAAAGAGAAAGGGAGGCTCACTGCTGCTGCTGCTGCTGCTTCACTGCTTTCTGCCTGCCCTGGACTACTTCTCTTCTGTAATGCCCCTCTTCCATGCCACTCTGCCTTGCAGCAAACTGACTACAAACTGAAACTTCTACAAACTATGAGGCAAAATAAACTTCTCCTCCTTTAAGTTGTGGGCATCTGGTAACTAGTACTAGAAATGAGTAAGTAACTAAGACACTTTCATCACCCTGTGATATGCTGTTCTCTAAACCATCTGTTTCTAGTAGAAACAGCCCATGAAAGAAGTTGTGTATTAGGCCACAGTGATAGAACAAAGTTAGGCTCTGGCAAACTACACTATAATCAGATTCATTTTTGAATACTTTCCAAAGAGAGAAGGCCTGGAAGCAAAGAACAACATAGAAGTTGCCTCTTCTCCACCGCTTGGTCCACTCCAGAGTTTCCAAGACCCCTCACTCAATACCCCACGTGAGACCTCCACACTTGCTAGTAACTCTGTCCATCCCACCTGCCCAGACTTCCACCCTGATGGCACCTTGGTGGGGGGACTTCTCTAAACAGACAGTAACTAACTAAAACTGCAAAATCTCAAACTTCTCCTAGGCAGTTTCTTTCTTAATAGTTATCTCCTTTTAGCATACTTAACATATTTATCTTATATTATCTGTCCGTCCCACTGGAATGTGAGTACCAGAAGACAGGAATGTTATGTTGCTCAGTTACATCCTTAATGTCTTAAAAGAGGAAGATACTCAAATCACAATGAGTAAATAACTCTCAAAATTGTTTCAAAGACAAGAGTTGCCTTGGTGATCAGAATTTCAAAGAACAATGAAGGGATAAAATCCTATGGTGGGGCCAGGGATTTAGCTCAGTAGTTCCAACGCCTGCCTCACAAGTGCAAGGACCCAAGTTCAATTCCCGGTACCAAAAAAAAAAAAGAAAAGAAAAGAAAAAATCCTGTGGTGGAATCATTAGGTCACTGTATTCAGCACAAGTGAAGTTTGATGATTTGGTACACAGAAGTTAGCCTAGGCTTTTATTAGAGATCTTTAATTCCATTCCATTTTTATCCTACAAAGAAAATATTACTCTTGCAGATGGTAGTATATTTATAGAATCATCCCCATATAAACTATTTCCATTTTGCAATAAGGCATAAAATATAAAACCTTTTACCACATGTATACATATTTTAAAAGGTCACTGTCTCACTGGAATAAATTCAAACTACAAGCTAACAAAAGTAAACTCTTCTGATGATATCTTGGAAGTTTTCTGAACTACAAGAATCTAAGTGTTTTATTATGTCTAAAGTTATCCAAATTCAAACATAACACTAAAATTATTACCTTGAGCTTGGAGGGGGAGTTAGCCAGGATTAATAAGTGCCTACAAATCTGCCATTTTTATGCCATCTCTAGCAATCCTGTTCAGTAGATATGATGATCTGTATTTTACAGATGAGGGCCTAAATGCCCCATCACCCAGCTGTAAGTGGAAAGATCAGAATACAAAAACAGCTCTAACTCCAAAGCCAATGTTCTTTGCCTAAGAGTCAGGATTATACTCAGATTCTAACAGCTTTCTATTATGCTAAGAAGAATGACACATCACTGCAATGATGAAAGATAACTGAAGAAACTGAGGATAAATGGACTACAAAAGATCCCCCACAGTAACCTTGTAATAGGTAAACCCACTAAAACAATCTTAAACATTCATTGTAATGCTCACCCCTGGGATCGCCCACTCTCCACAGTCTTTCCGTTTTATTGCAACAAACTGTAAGATGTGTTTCCCAGAAACAGGTTGGGTGATTTTATTTCCACTGCTGTCCCTTTTCCACCTGTGAAGAGTAATGTAATATTGTAACTGATTGAGAGCAAAGGCCAAGGCTCTATCTCAAGCCTAAAACAAAAGTATAAAGATAGAGTGTTCTTCATAACAGAGCATACACAAATTTACCTCAAATTAGCAAGTCTCACCCCAAAAGACCTGTTTTTTTTTAAATAGAAATACTCTGTATTTAATACTGTTATGAACCAGGACCATAGCCTATTTTATTTGAAGAACACTGTATTTTTCGTAATGAAAAGTCAAGTTACAAATAGCTTTTACTAAAGTGCTATTAAAAAAGTTTAAAAGAACAGAATTTAAAGAATGGTTGTTTTAAAAAAAAGGAAAAAAAAGCAAGGACCCTTTTAAAAAATTACAGGTAGTGGGCCAGGGATTTAGCTCAGTAGTGCCACCTCCTCCCAAGCAAGCACAAGGTCCTGAGTTCGATTACTGATACAAAAAAAAAAAAAAAAAAAAAAAAAAAAAATCCAAAGAATTACAGGTAGTGAAAAAGACCGGCTCCATCCTGTGTCCTCAGAAAGAACACACTATATGGTAAGAACACATTGCATGCTCATGCAGTGCTTTTCGTTCTTTATGCCTGTTTTTCATAAGGGACAAATAACCCCTCACACTTCCCCCTTCCATTTTATATTCTCAATATACTTTCTCTAACATTATCCTCTTTTCCAAGGATGTTAGTAAATCTCCCTTCTCTTTTCTAATCTCCACCACATCAACCTCCACCCTTAATTTTTAAAATTTTCTAATGGTCTCTTAGACAAAGATAAAAATTTACAAGTTATAATACTAAACCAAAAAGAAAGTCTATAATCATCTTTGTGGGTGAAATCCAAAAAATATATCAATTTGGGTATGAGTCACCAAATTTCTTTATATGGTAAGCTGACTGTCATATCTAACCCACAGTTCCTCCCTGGCAAGAGCTCAGAGCCTAGCAATAGAACTGGACATGTAAGCGAATAACCTATAAGTCAGGGTGGCAATTTGATCAGGATAGTGAACAGAAATCAAAGAATCATCAGTACCTATTTTTAAAATGCCAGACAGGGGAATAGCATAAGAAATAAAATAATGCAATAAAATAATGTGTTCAAGAAACAACTCCTATGTGGGGTCTGGTACGAAGGGTATCAGCAAAGGAAAAGAAAAAGGCTGAGGCTAAGGAAGCAGGCAAAGTATTTTTATGACAAGGTTCATCCAAGTCACACTTGGAGGGTCAGAATATATTTTCAAGCAGGGTACAGCCATAACAAATCTGTATTTCTTTCTTTTTTCTGTTTGTTTTATTTTTGAGACAGGGTGTCGCTACATGGTTCAGGCTGGCCTTGAACTCTTGATGATCCTCCTACCTCAGCCTCCCAAGTGCTGGGACTACAGGCCACCAAGACTGGCCTCCAATTTGTATTTCTGAAAGCTCACTCATGTTAACAAAAGCATGGAGACTGCTCCAGAGGGAAGCACAATCAGAAGCCAGATCAGCCAAAAGACTGTTATTATGATCCAAGGAAAAGATGAAGGTTAGGATGGAAGGTAGGGAAAGTGATAATGAGAGGAAAAGCTGATTAATTTTAATTTTCTACAAAGCCATTTCTATAGCATGTACTACACACCTACTGCTGATCTAAGTTCTTTAATGTGTTTATCTAATCAAGCCTCAAACAGCACCACAAAATGGTTGAATTATCCTTACTTCTAGATCAGACAGATAACTTGCCCAGAATACAGTGTTCACGAGGGTGTAAACCAAAACATGAAACAAAGCACTGGGCTACTCATCACTATCCACCCCAAATCAGAAAGCAGTGATAGGAGAGGAAAGAAGGCAGGTGATGGCCTTGTTTACACACAGACATTTACTGGCACCTACTACACATCATACACAAGGACCAAGGAAACAAAGAGCCCATGCAGAGCCCCTGCTCCCCATCCAGGCAGTCATGGCCAGGGTGCAGAGATGTGGATCAATGGAGAGAGAAAGCACCAGAAAGGGAGGAACAGCCCAGGTACCATGTCCGCCTTCTCAGGTTGCATTTTGAAGGGATTTAAGGATTTTTGGCAGAGTAGTTTCTTGCTCCAATATCAGTACTAGATATATGACTGTCAAAGTTAAAATAAAATCTGATACAACAGAAACCAAGTATCATTTTAATTAACAAGCCTCATTGCTATTTATTTACCTTAACATATGTAACAACTACGTGCCTGCTTCTTACTGATATTCCCTCCACACTTCTGAAGGCACACATCTTCCTGTCTTTAACCAAAACTGAAAGGAAAATAATAGTGCCATTATTTGAGCTGGATTTCCTACTAAATTAACATTTCCCATCTCATTTTAACTTTAAAGAATCTAAGCTGGCTGTGGTGGCACATGCTTGTAATCACAGCACTTGGGAGGCAGAGGCAGGAAGATCACCATGAGTTGGAGGACAGCCTGGGCTACATAGCAAGACCTTTATCTCAAAAAAAAAAAAAAAAAAGAATCTCAAGGAACTTTCTGGGGATCTAAATACTTAACATTTGCCCTGAAGATTGTGAACAAGAAAGTTTGTAAAATTCTGCACAACACAATGTTGTTTTGAATCATGAAATACTTAAAAGGGGATAGAACCTTTGCTTCAAAATTACCTAGGTGAGAGCTGGGAATGTAGCTCAGTGGTGCCATAGAGTTCTATCTCCAGTATCAAAAAAATAAAAAAGTACCTAGGTGATTATTAGGAATATTCCTTAGTAAAATACTGATCTAAAGAAAAAGTGCAGTATTTAGAGCCACGTGTCCCTGATTCAAAACTTCAAGATTCAGGAAAGTCACCTAACCCCAGTAAGTCTCCATTTTTAAATCTATGAAATAGATACATTCCATTCATGCCTACTTTGAGGGTGGGTTATTTTGAGAAACAAATGGAAACATTAAAATACCATGGAGTACCTGGAATATAATGGTATTTTTAAAAATTCATTAAGTCTTATTGGTTCTTCTTGCAACGTATTTCCTTCTTCTCATCCTTCCATTTTTCCTGCCACTCATCTGTTGGGAGCAACTTAGAATTTTGTATATGCATCACTGAGATAACAAAGAACACCAACCTATGAGTACTGCTAGACTCTGTCACTTGTGGGTTCTTTTGTACCCTTGGACTATCTCTAAGCCTTCAGTCCCTTACCTACATGACTATGAGTGAAGCCAAAGAAGTCCATCATTTCAAAACAACCTGACAGACAGTTATCACGTATATTCAGCCACTGTGTGATCCACTGAAATCAAAAGGAGCTCACTGGATTCCTGTCACTGCGACAAAAGACCTGAGAGAAGCCAACTTTCAGCAGGTAAGGTTTACTTTGATCATGGTTTCAGAGGCTTCAGTCAATAGTTACTTGGGCCCGTCACTTTGGGCCATAGCAAGGCAGGGTCTTCTAGGAGGACCTTGTGGCAGGAATAGCTATTCGCCTCGTGGCTGTATTCTGACTGATGATTACACCAAAGGGAACCCTGAATATAAGCTGGCTTACAGACAGCCAGGCTCAGGAAGAGACCGCCTTTCCCCTACTCTGAAGCTATCAGTGACTCCAGTACCTATTTCCTAACTTTGGCATTTTCCACACCAGAAATGTACAAAAATCAATTTGAAGTTTCATTTACCACCCACCAGAATCTTTTGTTTCAACCCAGCTAGTCTTTTTATTGCTGCTCAATACTGAAATACACTTGTCCCTTCCTGTCTATAGCGGACCAGAACACCCCCACATCCTAATACCTTTGGATGCCCAAGCTTCTTAATTAAAATGGTGCAGTATTTATATATTCCCTACACACTCTGTGTGCTTTATATCATCTCTAGAGTAGTTATAACGCCTAATCCCATATAAGTGCTATGTAAATAGTTGTTAATACCGTGTTGGTCAAGGATAATGACAAGAAAAAAGTCTGTACACATTTGGTTCAGATGTAATTAGTTTTGCTAGTATTTTTATCCAAGGTTAGCTGAATCTGTGGATGAATAGCCTAAGAATACAGAGAGCTAAATACAATGCAGCCTCAGTTCACAAACTTAATTTTTCTGGGAAAGATGGCCACATTCATATTCATGTGGGGAAGATGGCCCAGTTGTGTTTGTCATCCAATGCAGAGTTCACAAACAGAATCAAAATTTTGCTGAATGCTTCCGTTTGTAAGCTGAATTGTTGGCAAAACAAAAACATTTGTGAACTGAGGTATTACCACATAGACATTTCTGCAAATCTTTTTCTTAGATTTCCTACTCCCTACCTAAGATTTTAGTTCAGCTCAAATCTACCTCTTTCGCCCAGCATGGGGTGCACACCTGTAATACCAGAACTTGAGACTGACAACGAGGATCGCTGCGAGTCTGAGACCAACCTGGACTACATAGTGAGTTCAAGACCAGCCTGGACTACATAGTAAGACCTGTGGCAGACCCCCTGACCAAAGTCAGAGCAGGCTGTAATATGGAGCAGGCATTTTCCCCCCATAATGGGCTATCATGCACATGGAGCCAGACCAAAGCCTACACAACACACAGAGCATGTCAGATGGCAGTACAGGCTATAGCTTTCACAACGGCTGCATCATAGATCTAAGTCCTGATCTGTGAAGCTCTTGGGCTCCTAAGTGAGATAACTACCTTACCAGACCACATTACATTCATACAGCTACCCCTCCCTTCAATTGTTTCAGTAATTTATTAGTTAACCATGACAGACCTTTGGTCTCTCTGGCTCTTTTCACAAGAATACCTTGCTTGTGTCAATAAGTCCTGCCTGTGTTAACTGATATCACCGGATGCCACCCATATCCCCTACCCTATTTTACTTATGCTTGTATGATCAATATCAGCAGTCCTGGTTGCTTAGGTTCCTCGCCACAAGTTCAGTGTGGCCCATTCCAATACCCCGCTTTCTGCTTAAGTCTTGTTTCTGTGTTTCCTTTCTTGTTTCCTTTCTCCTTGAAGTCACACTGACTTGCAGGAGATTGAGACTCTGTTAGACAGGGCTTCCATAGAGATCCTGTCTCAAAAAAAAAAAAAAAAAAAATCTACCTCTGTTAAGCCTTTCTTGGGTGCGCCCATTAACAACCACGGTTATCTCCACATCCAGTGTTCTAATCTTCTAAAGCATCTTGTTTCACCTAGACTACACTTACACACCTCATAATGACATTTCAGTCATTATGACCACCTATGACTTATGGGACCACAGTCCTATAAGATTAAGATTATGAAGGAGCTGAAAACTCCTTTCACTTAGTGACACACTATAGTGCCACACATTTCTCACACTTGTGGTGATGCAGGTATAAACAAACTTTCATAAGCATGCCATGTACACTTATGTATAGTACCTAATGCTTAGTAACAAAGAACCACATGACAGGTTTAGGAATTTATTGTACTTTGTGTTATGTTAGCATGTACTCCCTCTACTTATTTACAAATAATTTTACTTTGTTTGTTTTCTTTGGTCTTTTGAGAAAGGGTCTCACTATGTAGTTGAGACTGACTTGGAACTTACTATGTAGCCTAGGCTGGTCTAACTCACAATTATCCTCCTGCCTCAGCCTCCCAAGTGCTGGGATTACAGGTGTACGCCACCATGCTTGGCTCAAAAAATAATCTTACTATGAGTCTTCTGCGTTACACCAGACTACATCAAAAGATCACATCATGTGACTGACCTAACCTACCTCTGAGTAAGTACATTCTATGATAGCTGCACAAGGACAGAGCCACCTCACGATACACTTCTCAGACACATCTCCTTTGTTGGTAACACAGGACTGGACTTGGGCATATTTGACAAGTTTTCTTATTTCAAATTTTCCATCACACAAATGAAGTTCTTTAATGACAGGAAACCAAAACATTGGATTTTAAAGATGTTTTTAAATCCTCTAAAGTAACTGCTTGATACTAAAAACAAATAGATCCTCAAAAAAACTGGTATATTAATTCTGTTTACATCAATGCTTAATTCACCACATAAAACTACAGGTTTAAGCTTACTTCACATATCACTAAAATTTTACATGTCTCTTTAAAACAGATTTATGTGTGCATATATGTGAATATCTATATGTGTAATACACACATAGATATACACAAACATGCAAGATCCATGTGTATTACAAACATATGTACACATGTAACTACAGTCTGTATTTTTCTGATCACTTAGGTCTTTGTTACTGAAATACTTTACTTGGTTCTTACCTGGTTATAATGGGATCTGCAGCATGATTTGGGCCCCATCTCCCCAAAAGCCCCCGGCCAACCAGTCCCGTCCGTCCTGCAGGATTTCTAGGGGGGAAGATATATATATGTATGTACATATACATACATATGTAAAATTGAATGTGTTTATCTTTTAAAACCCAAAAACAGGTACTACAAGCAATAAGAGGGAAGTAATATATTTCTGCAAATCCAGAAGCACTATCACATAATCACATATCTGGCAGTGAAATCACACAAATCATTACACTGTTACTTAGTTGTTCTGTTGCACATGTCTTAAGTTTGACACAGACTTGCTCGGGACACTACCTGGGCTCCAGGCCTTTGACTGGATGCTGTCCATCCCAGTGTGCAGACAGCCCTTTTGCACTCTTCCATATCCAACTCTGTGGGAAGCCATTGTGAAGCAATCTACAAACTCTTATGTATTTCTATATCTTATATCTGTTTCACGAGTAAACTCTCACTGATACAATGGCCAAGCCTATAACTTGCAAACTAGAAACCAAGGAATAGACATATAGATTACCCTAGAGCCTGAGAGTGGAAAAACTTGTTTGCAGAGAGAAATGAAGCCAACATATAGAAGAAAACAGAAATGAGGCAAAGAGAGCGTCCTGTTGGATCTCCAATTCTCCTCTTTCCTAAAGTTAGGTGTATTTCTGCTTTGGACTCCCTGCTACAAGCCTATAACCTAAAATAAACTTTTCGCTCAGGCAAGTTACACAGTTGGTGCTTGTTACACCCTTCACTATAACATGTCTTGGCTTTGCTACCTATCATTTCATAGAAATACAAATCTTTTCATGCATTTACCTAGAAGAGAACCTATGAAGCAAGTCAAATTCAAGTTTGACTTCATAGGCCAAAGTAAAACCTATTCTATATAACTAATATGCACTAATAAAAAATAAATGAATATAACTTAAAAAGAGTCAATAACTTATGACCGAGCCTGGCGTGGTGGCGCACACCTGTAATCCCAGCACTGACTACAGTGCTGAGGGAGGAGGATCACTGTGAGTTCGAGACCAGCCTGGGCTACACAGTAAGTTCCAGGTCAGTCTCAACTACATAGTGAGATCCTGTCTCAAAAAACAAACAAACAAAAAAACACTTATGACCAAAGAAAGAATTTAGCAAAACTGAAGGACCAAACTGGAGTAAGAGGAGCACTACCATTTCCTTGCCCTAAATTAAGAATACAAAATGCCATACTCTTATATGGTGATAACCATAACTGTGATCCTCATTTTATTTGGGGCAAGCTAATTTTTATATTTCTTCTTCACTTTTACAATGTCTTCTAAAGAAAAATGGATGATTTTGGAGTTATGTAGAAAATCACTTTAAAAGTACAAAAAGAACCCTGATGTTAAAATTAATGGCTTGGTGTTATTTTTAGTCTTAGACGTTTGGATAAATTCTCACATTAAGGCATACCCCATTTAATAAATACCTACTGAAAATCATAATTTATGATATTTTCTTTAATTTACTCATAATTATTTCTACCTTCAAGATGAAATTACAAAAAGATACATTCAAATCCTGCCTCTTCTACTTACTACTTGCACACAAAGTGCGTGCACTCCTTCTTTGTCTGTAAAATTAAAACTATCCACCCACAGTTTTGTGAAGATTTAATTGGATTACGTACATAAAATTTTTGTACATGTCTGGCACATGCAATAATATAGTAAGTGTCAACTATCTTCTCTACTTTTTGAAGACCAATTATTGTAAGATACTTCTCTTTCATTCCCTACCTGGGTCTTCCATTTTCAATTTCATACAGGCCATTCTGGCTCTTTCTCTCTACATGCCCATCCTTTTCATTAAACTTCGGAGAAAAGGTACTTTCACTGTAACAAAAATATCAACCCAAAATAAGAAATAATTCAATACTACAAGAGCTTAACAATATAAGGCAATTGTTATTCATGCTATATGAATTATTCCTGAAAGAGTAAATTTTTCAAAGTTTATTTTTCATTTATAAATCTGTCTTTTATCTTCAAAACAGTTTATCAGGGAAAACAAAACCTTTCTAACCACATCATGATTAGGCTTACTAACCACCTCTTGGATTACCAGCAGAACTGAATCTTCTACGTGCTTCAAAAAAGTCTACACTGTTATCAGAACTGATTGTTGGCACATTATAGCAATTATTCGTTCCCAGGTAGTTTCAAAAATAATTATTTTTTTTAACATCTTGCTCTGTCAAAATAACTTTAATTCCTTCACACATTTACTGACTGATATTATCAAAGCAAAACCATAAAACTAGTGGACTGAGCCCATGAATTGTGCAACAGATATGATATGAATTAAAAACAGATATATTATTGTGGAAATGTTCTAGACCTTGACCTGGATTATTGCTACACAGCTTTTTAATTTACAAACACAAAATTTTATTATGCTAGACTTGCACACATAAGAAATATGGACTTTACTGTAATTATATAATGCCTCAACAAAAAATATTTTTAAAATAGATATAACTAAACTACTTTCCTCACTACTCTGAGATCACTGACATAACTGTGTTGAAAATGACTGTAGCACCGGAGCACGGCTGGGTACCTTCAACATAGGTTTACTTTTTTTTCTTGCCTCAATCCAGTAAGTAAGTATGCAACTATTTGTGGTCTAGCTTGGGAATAATGTCCCAGTTGACTACTACAGGCATTTTCTCAAGATTTCTGACCAATCTTTCAGTTAATCTGTCTCTCTGTCTCCTACACACATACACTTTGTCCCTTTATTATTTTCCTATTTCTTCCACACTGGTCTAATTTATCATTCTATTCTTAGTAGTCTGGAAAAAATTCTGAAAAATATTTCTGCTACTTCAAATACAAATCTAGCTATGTTAGAAAATAACCATTAAAGATATACTATTGATAATGCAAACAAAACACATGAAGATGGATACCACTAGCTGTGATTTCATAACAAGAGACTGTTCTATCAACTCAAAATAGATTCACCTATTAGAAAGGACCTCATAAAACTCCCAAAACAATAGCTTTGGCAAAAATTAAACCAAATGTGCAAACTGACATTAAAAACTCAAGCATGGATAAAAGAGCTTTTCCAGGTGTCGAATAACAATTGACAGATACAGCCATTACCTACTCTGGAAGCCTTAAACCCAGCTAAGGCTCTTTTCTTCGCTTACCTGATCTGAGGATCCGCCCATCTGGGTCCTGCCAAGACAGAGAGGGCAGTATACTCCACAGGGTTATAGTCTTGCCATTCAACAAGCCAGCCCACTTTCTCATTGGGAACCTGGCTACGTTCAACTTTGGAGCCTGGGTAAGGTGATGTCCGAGCCTTATTGTGCGAATTCTCTTTGGCACCATTAGAATCAGACATGATGTTAGAGTTATGATGAAACCAATGGGACAAAAATGAGTTTCTGGAAAGGAAAAATATTTTCAGAGAAAAAAAAAGTATATTAATTTTAAAATCAAATTCAAAGACCCTAAGAACATATATTTTTAATTTCACAAACTTTTAAAACCCCAAAAAATTATATTTGTTGAATAATAATAAAGAAGTTCATCTATAAGAGGTTTACAAATATGAAAACTTTTAATATAGCTATATTTCATTAACTGGAGCCTACTCACTGAACTTATTTTAGTTGACAAAAAAGGACACAAGTTGTTTGTGTTATTTGTAGGGGAATTGAAAGTTTGTTATGAAAATGCAACCACACAAGTATTTTTTTTTAAACTGTTTAAGTCTAGGTAAACAAAAACATTTTTTGAAAAATGACCTACAGTCTAGCATATTTAAAATATATAGCAAAAATAGCACCAAGGAAGAAAAATGGGAAAAATGAAAATTTACTGCTGTAACGTTCTTGTGTTGAATATAAAGTAATTTAACATTTGAAGGCAGAATGAGAAAGATTTTTACACATATAAACTTTAGAGCAAAGTTTAAATTAAATAAGATGTATGAGATAACTGGATGGCATATCCAAAAGTAGTAACAGCCAAACCTTCACAGTAAACTCGCAGCATATGCAAAAGTATTCCATGCTTCCTTCAACTTAAAAACTTGAACAGTTCTCATAATTCTTAAAATAAAAATTCCAAATAACTCTAAATTAGAACAAAAAATAGAAAACAGGATCCTGAGAACATGAAGACCTATGACAGCTTCTCTCCCCTGCTCTGACAGTATCTCTTGAGTGACTGATAGGACATGAAGGTGACCAGGTTGTGGAATGTACCTACCACCATGTGCCTCCTGGTATCACATGCTGAGAAGTATATACCAATCACTGTGAGGTGTTCTTGCCAACCACAGAGCCCAAACCCAAGTACATCTTACAGAATAAAGGTCTATCCTCTCTAAATTGGAAAGATTGTGAAAGATAAAGATGGAGGAACTCTTCCTGTTAAAGACTAAAAGATACATGACAACTTAATGTAATCTGTGATCCTGGATTGCTCCTGAACCAAAAAAGAAAAAAAACAGACATTGTTTGACAGGCAGTAAAATTTGAATGGGGCCCTAAAATTTCAAATGCTGCATTAGGGGGACATTAAAAGAAGATGTGTCATGCATATGTACCAACTACCCACAATGAATGTGTTCATGATATACTGCAAACATGTACTAATAAAATAACACAGAAAATAAAACTTTTTGAAAGGTGATTTTTTTTTAAAGGACTGCATCTATTTACTCCCAACAATGGCAACAAAAAAGCCTAAGACAAGATGGCTTCACTGGTAGATTCTCCCAAACATTTAACAAATAATTTCAATCACTCTTTTATAAACTCTTCAAAAAATCAGAGAAGGGAAAATTTTCAAAATCATTCCTATGAGGGCAGCATTATCCTGATACTAAAAGATCAAGTTAGCAGAAGAAAGAGCCCAGAAATAAAGTCACATATACAACCATGTGCTTTCAACAAAGGTGCTTAGTTACTTTTCTCTTTGCTGGGACAAAATACTCCACACATGAAGTTAAGGGAGGAAGGGTTTATTTAGCAAACACTTTGTAGAGATTTCAGTCCCTAATCAGCTGGCATCACAGAAGAGAAACAGTTCACGGCAGGCAGAAGGCAGTAAAACAAGCAGCAAGCAATGACTAACAAGCAACAAGAGAGGATTGCAGCTTTCTTCTGTCCCTTATATTTTTATCTATGAGGCAGGTAGTACTCACACCTGGGTGAGGGACATTTAATCCTACTCAGAATTATTTAGTAATCACACACCCTTAATCCCAACATCACATACTCTACATCCACACACCTCTGTAAAAGCCACACCTATGACAGCATGAGGCTTGGGGGAAGAGACATCTAGACACAAGCCATAACAGTGCCAAGACCATTCAACAAGGAAAGAGTCTTTCCAAAACACAATATTGAAAAATCTGGTTATTCACATGCAAAAAAGATGAAGTTGGACCCTTGGCTTCCACCATATACAAACATTAACTAAACCTGTCCAGGGCTGGGGATGTAGCTCAGTAGCAGAGCACTGGCCTATAGTGAACAAGGACCTGGGTTGAGCCCTAGCACTGCAGGGAAGAGGAAGAATCACTTAAGACCCAAAATAATAAAAGTTTCATAAGAACATATACAGGAAAACTTCATGAAATTAGAGTTGGCAATAATTTCCCGAATGTTATAGCAAAAATACAGGCAACAAAAGAATAACTGACAATTAGATATCAAAATTAGAAACTTCTGTGTATCAGACATAACAGAATAAACAAGAACTTATGAAATGGAAGAAATTTGTATCTGATAAGGTATTAATGTCAAGAGCATATAAAGAAGTCCCACAACTCAAGAAAACAGCCCAATTACAAAACAGGCAAAGGACTTGCACAGACATTTCTCCAAAGATATGAAATTGGCCAATATGTACATTTAAAAGTGCTCAACATCACTAATCATTTAAAAAATGTACATCAAAACCACAATGAGATGCCACCTCATACTCATGGGGAAGGGGGGTCACTAGGATGAAAGAAGGGGTGAGTACTGGCAAAGATGTGAATGTATTTGGGATTAAAAATACTTCCATCAAGTAACTCAGCAGTATTTGCATAAGGTATCACTGAACAGTAAAACAAGATGAAGGAAAGTGTATACGATATGTTCTTATCTTTATAAAGCAACATTATGCAAGGATGTGTATAATTCATTTGCTTTTATTGCTGCCATAGTGAAGTATCATAAACTACCTCAGTGGTGTAAAATAATTCAAATTTATTACCATAGGATTTTACTTAAAAATAGGCTAAAGGCAATGTTATAGTTCATATATGGATGTCCCCCTAACGCTTAACGCAGTCATAGGCAAGACTTTTGGAAGGTCATTGGATTATAGAGGGATTAGAGGTGATCTGCTTTTTTTTTTTGGACAGTGTCTTGCCATGTATTTGAGGCTGACCTTGAACTCATTACATAGCTCAGGCTGGCCTCATGCACCGTGACCCTCCTACTCCACCCACCCCACCCCTACATGCAGGGATCAAATGCATGTGCCAGCATGCCAAGCTTGACTTCCTGATAAGAACCAGTGTTTGGTCAGGAGAGGTGGGTTACTGTGGAGCTGACCTGGTTATATTTCCCTCTGGGCTCCTCCCTCGATTCCGCTTCCTGCTGCCATGACAAGAGCTCTTTCTCTGCCAGACCCCTCTACCATGCTTCCCTGCCTTGGAGCCAGCCAACTACAGGCTGAAACTTCTACAAACTGTGAGCCAAAAATAAACCTCTCCTCCTTTAACTTGTGAGTGTCAGGTACTGAGTCTCAGCAATGAGAAGAGTAATGAAGACAGCCAATGTGACTAAGGAACCACATTCCCTTCTAGGTGTATCGCTTTACCAGCTCTGTGGCCCAAGGCCCGCTTTCATCCTTCTCACAGCCAGCAACACTGAAACTCTCTGACCATTTTTTAGTAGTCCAATCTCTCCCTGACCATGGTAAGAATCAATCTCCATTTGTAAGGATGTGACTAGATCAGTACTCCTCGAGGTAGTTTTGTTTCTGTCACTATGTATACACGCTTCTGAGTTAAAAATGAAGTAGACATATTATAGCCTATAGTTTAAAGCCTGGCATTCTGAGACAGTTTGCCTGGTTTGGATTCTGATTCTGCTGTCAATTGTGTGACTTTGGTAAATGGATTTAACCTCTCTGGGTTGTTGGTTTTCTTGAGACAGTGTGCGTAGTTCAGGCTGGCCTCGAACTTGCAGTGATCCTCTTCCCTCAGCCTCCTTAGTGCTGAGATTACAGCCGTGCAGCACCACACCTGGCATCTCTCTGGGTCTTAATGTTCTTTTTTTTTCCCCACCTGTATCACTGAGCAATATCTCTAGCCTTTTTATTTTGAGACAGGATGTTCCTAAATTGCCCAACCTGGCCTTGAACTTTTGATTTTCTTGCTTCAGTCTCCTGAATGGCTGGGATTACAGGCATCAGCCACCATTTCCAGCTGATACTCATAAAGGAGTAAATGAAAGGCTAACCAATAAAAGGTTTTCCCTGAATTTTGAGTTTTTGACACTACTTCATGGATGGCAAAGTGAGTACAAAAGTGAGTATAGTAGGTTTTTTTGTTTTGTTTTGTTTTGCTTTTGGTGGCATTGCAGATAAAACCCAGAGCCTGTATACAGCTATATCCCCATCCCTTTTTATAGTTTTGAGATAGGGTCTTGCTAAGTTGCCCAGGCTGGGCTCAAACTTGAAATCCCCAAGGTCTTTAAACGGGGTGCAAGACAACTGGAACTGTATAAAGGAGTTATAGACACACGAGAACAGGAAAGAATTAAACCAGGGAAGAGAAGACAGCTTCACAGTTCTTACAAAACTAAATATACTGATAGATCTTTTGCAAAAAGGAAGGGGTCCAAGAGATGGAGGAAAAGGGGAGGGCAAAGGGATAAAAAAGAATGAAGATATGTTATGTACATGTACCAACTCCCCATGATGAACAATCGTGTACTGCAAATGTGTAAAACATAAACGTACTACTACTGTTTGATGTAGGATACACACTGTATTTAACCAAATGGATTAAAAGCCTATGTCCACAAAAAACCTGCCCAAAAGTCTTCCTAGCAGCTTTATTTGTAATAACTAAAACTTGGAAGTAACTAGGGTATGCTTCAGTAAGTGAAAGTAAACTTCGGTACATCTAGATGATAGAACATTATTTAGTGCTAAAAAGAAGTGAACCATCAATCTGTGAAAAGACATGACACACATATCATGAACCTTACACGCATATACTGAAATCTAACAAAAATAGCATGGTGATGTCCACAGAGTAGTTCATTAAATCCTTCCTTCCCCAAATCCCACTCAAAGACTAAAGAAATTTATTCAAGTAAATAAAATCCACAGCAGTAGAGGAAGGACATCACTAGTGAATGGAAGATTTTAAACAATTCAGGAAGATGGAAAATGAAATCACATTGGCCCACAGTAAACAAGTCATGCTTAAGATTACAAAAGGGTGAGGGAGAAATGCCATTCCCACGAGAGGAGACTGAGGAGTTTCCAGCTTGAAGTCGGTGAGCCCAAAATTCAGAAGTGGTCAGTGAGGCGATAACCATGGAGATTACTGTCTTCCCGAAACTAAAGGTTAATGTTTACTCCCAGAATAAAATTTAAAAGGGAGGGGGGACCTAGGAGTCCTACTGTGAAGAGTAGCGTCAGAGACCTAGCCAATTTAGCCTTGGTAACTTTACAAGTCAGCTAAGAAATAAAGTTGAAGAAACTACTCCGCAGAGAAGCTGCTCCACCACTACTGTGAAGTCGGAAGCAAAGTAAGGGTTCCCAGCATGTCCAATTGAATTGACTTCCAATCTAGACAGCTACTACAAAGAACAAATGGTCCATCAGCACTCCCTGGTGGAGAAAACGATGCCTAGTGCTTACATTAATAAAAATAGGGCCAGCATCCATTACATGTAGTATTAACCAGAAGAGAACATGAGAAAAACCACCATACACAAGGGCTATTTACACTGGTCGGAGACCATAATGTTGGTGACTTAGGGAGGATGGCAAGTTTCAAAATCAGGGGTCAGGGCAGGTCCCTGAGCTGGGTGTGGTGGTGCACGTCTGTAAGCCCAGCTCGCTGGGAAGCTGAGGCAGGAGGATCCAAAGTTCCAGTCTAGCAGGGTAAACTTAGTGATTTAGCCAGACCCTACTGCTAAATAAACAAACAGGATGGTGACGTAGGTCAGTGCGAAGGCCCTGGGTTCAAATCCCAGTATCCTCTGCGCTCCCCAAAAAAAGTACCTGACACTAGTTTTTCGTCAAACGGCAGAGAATACATTGTGGAGCCTTTTTTTAAAAAACCTGCACTGTATATGGCTATTAAAACTCAGGGCGCAGGCAAAGCCTACAGAATCCGTCGGACAGAAAACTTGTTTCCCACCCCAGCCCGGGGTCTCGGAACAGGAGCCGGCTCTAGGAGGGGGATACCTGTGCGCCGGGATGCTGCGGCAGCCTGAGGACCCGACAGTCACCGAGGCCAGGGCCACTGAGAGAGACACCGTGGCGAAAGCCTTTCCCAGGGAGCGTGCGGCCATCGGCGCCCCACGGAGCCAGGTTGCTCTCGGCTCAGGCCTCGGCCTCCGCCCGCAGCACCGCCCTCCGAGGCCAGGGCCACTGAGAGAGACACCGTGGCGAAAGCCTTTCCCAGGGAGCGTGCGGCCATCGGCGCCCCACGGAGCCAGGTTGCTCTCGGCTCAGGCCTCGGCCTCCGCCCGCAGCACCGCCCAAGCCCGGCGCGGGTATCCGCCGGGCACTAGGACCGGGCAGTCCCGACTCCCAGGAGAGAATCGTTACGTCTATCCAGAAACAGACTGGAGACCTCCCAAATAATACTGCAATGCTTTTCTGGGCGCGACCAAGTCCATACTCCCCGTGACGACCAGACTGCTGACCCAGCTGCTGGGAACCGCATCCGGGGCCCCACGACGTACCGGGTGCGTGGTGGCGCTTTACGGCAGGCCACAAACCAAACGCCGTGCAGATGTCGTTATGTCACAGGCCCGCGAGATTTGCGTAGTCGTGCTGCGCAGAGGCAAAGCGGTAGACCCGAAGGGTACGTGGGAGTGTGTTGGAGGAAGGGCGTTGGAGGGAGCTGAAAAAAGCTGCGACTGGAAGATCCCACTAGGAGAAGGAGAAGATTACAGAACTATACAGGGCCTAGTCATAGTTTAAGCAGTTGGTGCTTAAGGGAAGAAGTGATAGAGACTTGTGACCCCCGCATTTGGGGCGTTTCTCTTCCCTTTTTGTCAACCCAGCTGGGCTCGCTGTCGCTACGGATTTCACAAAGTCTGGCCAGCGGTGACTCAGGAACCAGGCAGAGCAAACAGACTGTGGAGTGGTCACACAGCCTGGACCAGAAACTCAGAAGTCAAAAATTAGCAGTTAGCCCCCTGGAAGTTGGAAGTCCAGGTTATCCAAAGTAGTTTGTAATCTGGCGTTTTGAAAATATTATTAATGTGGCAAATTGTAAACTTTGTCATTGTTTGGGGACTGCAGCTCAAATACAGACGTTGTAAAGCTTCAGCTGTCTTAAAAAAAACAGATGGATCAAATTTAGCAACCATTCTGAAAACAAAGGGTGTTTTGGTTTTTTTGAAAAGGTCTTACTATGTAGCCCAGGCTGGCTTTGGACACAGGAGCCTCTTGACTCAGCCTCTCTACTGCGTGGTACATAGTGACTGTCCAACACTCAACACTAAGATTTGACCGTATTCTAGCTTTGGTTTCTAGCAGTTTAAGACCTTGTCCCCCTTAAGATAACCTGCCTGGAAAAGCTGAAAGTTAAGCGAACTTACTGTATTTTCTAGCCAATACCTGGTCATAGGAAGTTAGGGCCCTTAACTCCTTAGCTGAGTGGCTTTTGAAAGCTTATAATGATACATTATTTCTCCCACCCTTGAGATGTAAGTCTACCTGAGTTGGGAACATTCAAGGAGATAATGCACTCTGGTGCTCGGTCCTTGTGAGAGGTAAATGTCTAGCCTTACCTGCTCCACTACCTCCTATCACTGATAGAGCGGTAATACACACTAAGATAGGCCCTTGCCTTTCCTCCATATTTTGGGGGGCTTTTTCCACAAAATGTTTTGTTCCAGAAATGTAACAGTTTGTGCTTGCTAGGCATCACTCCTGCCCATTCTATCAAAATGTTTTGTGACTGAACCGGGTGACCTTTCAGGAATATTCTGTTAAGCTCTGCCCCCTTATGAAAATGTTCTCTTAGCTCGACCCCTCTCAGGAATGTTCCATTAGCTCTACCCCTTTCAGGAATGATCTGTTAACTTCTCCTCTGTCTGCCTAAGCATGCTTGCCCACTATGCTTTTCAGGAAGATTGTGTAACTCTGCCTCTCTGCTTCAGTGAGCATGCTTGCCTACCCTGTAATTCCCTTTATAAGAAGGCTCTCATCTCAAGAACCTCAAACTTTGAGTATAAACTCCTCCGAACGCTCTAGCATAATAAAGGTTTTTTTCCATCTCTTCAAGTGACCATCAGATTCTTGGAGTCTTCAAATTGCAATAGCTGCTACCCAGAGCTGTAACACTCAGCTATGCCTCAGAGCTGTGGTATTTTGATGTGACACTGAGTTGTCACACTTGGCTATAGCTCTGAGCACCTGCTTTGTCACAACATCACGAAGACAAGTGTTGTTTCTTCCTCATAAGTGCCGATTAGCAAATCCAGATGGCCTAGTCAGATAGATCAACCCACACATGATTTGGAGCCTTCAGTGCCTTCCCTTAGTACACCCCCACCTATAAAAAGTCTCCAGCCTTAAGTATTAGATTCATGATGTACTCCCTTCTTTATGGCAATAGTATTACTCAGTAAAATTTTTACTAATTTAATGAATACCAGCTTTATCTTTGACAGCTCTTTCAGAGAGCAGTACTTTTATTAAAATGTGTATTTTAAAAATAAATAACAGGGCCGGGGATTTACCTCAGTGGTTCTGCCGCCTGCCTTCCAGGCTCAAGGACCCGAGTTCGATCCCTGGTACCAAAAATAAATAAATAAATACCAAACTGGTTATGGTCGCAGCCACCTAGGACCCCAGCTACTCAGGAGGCAGAGGCAGAGGGTTATTTTAGCCCAGAAGTTCACAGCCAGCCAGATCAACATAGACTCTCAAACAAATAATAAGTAAATAAAATATTAGTGCTTTATAGTCTCTGCAGTTTACTGTCAGTGTTCTTGGCAGCCATTAATCACTGCTTCCGCCAGAAATGTATTAGGCAGGCTCTTTGCAAAGTTTAGCTCACCCAGGGGAAGCTGACAGATTAACGACTAGAAAGAAAAGGAGCAAAGGACTGAGTTACGAGACACCTCTCAGCAAGGAAAGGGAGGCTTCTCTAGCCTGCCTTCAAACTCTACATCCTCATAATGTGGATTTAAAGAACATAACTGCAAACAAAACCAACTCTGCAACACAGAACTGAACCTGAATTGGCTCAGACAGCAGGTCCCCTGAGTACCCCTGCAGAAACGGTCCTGCTTCCCCAGCTGCTAGACTAGTGGATGCCATTGCTCCAGCTCATGGGCAAAATCAAAACACGGCCTCAAATCGACTGTGTCCCAATTGTTTACTCAGGTGTTGTCAAAACTTTGGAGAAGTGAGGGCTTCCTTTTGTAATTTAGAAGACACAAACCAACTTTAAGGGCCTCTTAGAAAAATAGATGGTGAGACAGGCAAAAGATACTGAGAAATTGATTTTTTAAGCAAGAGAGCTATGTACATAGGTATTGGAAGTATAGGGATGCTAAAAATATGAGTATTAAGAATCCCAAGTGTTTCCCATTTTTCATGCATTCGGTTATACCACAAATACGGTATTTACAGTGTGTTGTACTCACTGTTTGTCTATCGCTGGCCTGAGTGCCAGGAATACAGCCATGAACGAGATGGACTAGGTCCTGCTCCCAGACACTTGCTATGTAGGAGATAAAAAATCAACGATAAGTAAGGACTAGGAAAAGTGCTGTGAAGGAAACAGACAATTTACTATGGAAGAGAATTACTGTCAGAAGTGACCACTTTGGATTGCAGGGGAAAGGTGTCAGAAGCTCTTCTGAGGAGGTCACAGTTGAGTGGAGACCTAAAGACAAGACACTGCCAGCTAACTTACTGAAGTAAGTAATAAGAGTGAACCAGAGGAACCATCATCTCCAGCTATGCCAGGCAGGGTGGCGCATGCCTATCATTCTAGCTGAGACAGGAGGATCATAACTTTCAGGCCTACCTGGGAAACAGCCAACAGTAGGCTGGGTGCAGGTGTGGAGGCAGACTGTAATCCCAGAATTCTGACAGCCTGAAAGGATTAACAGGTTCAAGCCTGTTCTGGTAACTTAGGGAGACTCTCTCTCTCTCAAAAAATTGAACGATTGGGAGTGTAGCTAGTTGAAAGGTCCTGAGTTTGATCCTCAGTAACATGAATAATACTCTACAATCAATCTGGACAGATGGGCCAGAATGGTAGGCACTGCTGGCTGCTTCCCAACGCCTTTTCTTTCTTCCATGTTGTATGTAGGATCTGTTTCATTTAAAATTTAACCGCACTATGTTCCTACAGTTAACGGGCCACAAGGCTCTTCCCAGTCAAGGAGATGAAAGCAGAATCTACTGCTTTCCTGGTAAAGGGGACCGGTTCATTTCCCAAACACCATTAACCCTTTGCCTCTTTTCCTCCTTCCTCTTTTGCCATTTGAAAGAGGCCAAATTTGTGGAAGAGGAGGAGCTGCACTGCCTCACCACTGTAATAATGAGACCCACACAGTGTGGGTGGCAGAACAGGATGTAGCAAGAACCTGAGCCTTTTCTCATCCTTGCTCCAGCCATGGGTGAGAAAATAAACTCCTATTTGCCTCAGCCACAATGGTTGGATTTATTTTATTTATTTATTTTAGATACATGATATATAATGTTGGGAAATAAGCAGCTATCTTGTCAAAATATGAGAAAAATGCTCATGAAGTTGTGTGAAAATAAATCAACTGTCAAAAATGTTCACAAGTTCCAAAAATATTTATCTTAATATAAAATATGGCAAATTCAAAAGTATCTTTTGTTACACAGAGTACAGAATATAAACACCAAAAATGTTTTTAAAAAGTAGTGACAAGGGCTGGGGATTTAGCTCAGTGCTTCCGCCGCCTGCCTCGCAAGCACAAGGACCGGAGTTCAATCCCCGGTACCAAAAAACATGAGTGACAAAATCCTAAATCTTAATTGACAATTCAGTGGCTTATACCTCCAAATTGTAAGGGCTAAACAAAAACTATACAAATACTAACTCTACTTGAAAGTAAAAAATACATTTTAATTCACCACACTTAATTAAGACACGTATTATGCCCAAAGATACACAACTCAATAGTTTATATTAAACACTACAGATACATAGTCCAGATATTTAAGTGATTTACTGAAAAACACAAATAATGCATGTTCTTTAGGATCTCTATCTGGGATTTTTTTTTTTTTTGGAAATTTTATGGAGAAATATTGACCTCAGGTTCTTTTATTACTCCTACAGGAGTACTTCTATTACTCTACTACGTAAGAAATTTTCACAGGATTTTCAAAATGGGCTTACATGTACAGTTTCTCCCCAGAGATATTTTTGTCCTGTATGTGACAATATAAGTGTACTGAAAGCATTCCCACATTGCTTACATACACATGGTTTCTCCCCATTGTGAGTGTCTTTGGCAAACACCACAACTGCTGATAGCTTTTCCTCATTGTTTACATGCATAGAATTAATTCTGAGTATGAGTTCTTTCATTTATCTTACAATAACATCTACTAAAAGCTTTTCCACATTGCTTACATGTATAATTTCTCCCTGGTATGAATTCTTTCATGTGGTTTACAGTAATCTTGTGTACTAAAGGCTTTTCCACATTCCTTACATACATAAGCTCTC